ATTCACGTTGTTAATAATTCAGAGGGCGGAATATTTGCTATGCGGCAGACGGCGCATATAAATTTGATGCAGTTGACAGATTCCGGTAGATATTTTGACACATTTCTATGAAAATTTCCACGATATTCTACTCTCTATAACCAATTTGGCCGAATCTAGTTACGACCGTGAAGGGAACTGAAGTAAATTTCGAATCGATTTTATTGTTGCAGAATGTTAGACATAAATATGGATAATAGTAATAATAATAATAGTAACATGGTTTGTTGTAAATGAAAAATATGCAGGTGAATATATTAGGTTTGTGTCGGGGAAGTCGGAATTTTTACTTCGTACTCCTTGAATCGTATCAACTTTATATGCGCATGAAATGCAATTTATTCAACTTCGTTTTGTTGCATTATTCCTCTGCACTGTGAATCCGGCGTGTCCCGAGACTCAAGTTTAAAGCTACACGAGCTTAAATAGAAGATATAGAAGAAACCTCGACGCTCGACGACTTAAACACCGGCGCACCGTTAACAGATAAGATTAAATCTACTTGTGTCTTATATAATTGTGAAGAATTCTGTACGTGACCGACCTGATAAGCATGAGAATTAAGTCGTATCATTTTCTTGAACATAATTCTCAGAATTTTCTTCAACAAAAAAACGAATGAATGGTTAATTATATTTAAATTATAAAAAATAGTATATATTTCTTCTCGTGTCTTCAATATTTGGTGTTCGTTATTTTGATCAATAATCAATTTTCTTATACAATTGGAAGATCTCCAGATCCCTTGTGGATTCATTCACCTGTTAGTCCTTGTCTAGAGAGGTAATCGATTATTCAAGGATCAATTTCTCAGACGAAAACATTTTTACCGATAACTAAATAATGATACTTGTTTAATAATGACTAAGTCCATTAAAATAAGTATATTCGTACACATGTTAACTTAAAGATTTAACTCATGATCTAGACTCGGAGCCATAAACTTTCTTGAAACAAGAAAAATCCAACAAAAATGGTCCAAAATACAGTAATATATGAATACTTGCTACATTCTCCAAACATTCAGCTTTAATATGCATCTTTTTGATTCAGTTTATCTATTATAGTTTTCGAGAAAATCAATGAAATGTGAAAACATTGCTTCTTCGAACTATATTTTTTCGAGAATTTTTTAAACTTTGAACGCGAATTACAGCCAAACGGATAAATCCACAGTAATATATGAATACTTGCTACATTCCCCAAACATTCAGCTATAATATGCATCTTTTTGATTCATTGTATGTGTTATAGTTTTCGAGAAAATCAATAAAATGTGAAAACACAATTTTGAACGCGAATTATAGACAAACGGATAAATCCACAGTAATATATGAATACTTGCTAGATTCCCCAAACATTCAGCTTAAATATGCATATTTTGGATTCATTCTATCTATTATAGTTTTCGAGAAAATCAATGAAATGTGAAAACACTGCTTTTTCAAGCATTTTTTCAACTTTGAACGCGTATTACAGCTTATTAAAAAAAGTAACATTTCCTTCTGACGGAAATATACTCAAATAATTCCGGAGTCCGACGGAAAAGTGTACGTTTTGTTGCATGCATTATATAGACACTGTCTGTCCGATTAACGTACATTCGCTTAGCTTACTTCAATTCATATACACTTTATGTATGCAAACCGTGATTATTACTGAAAATAATATTTTATAAGTCTTATTTTTTCGTAGCATCATTTACGACTAATTGTAAAATAAACAATATGTTCATTAGCACAATTATAAAAATTCTAGCTTATTGATCGTAAACTTTGAACCCGAAATGTTAATATTTTTACATAAAATAAAAACTGTATAAAAGTAAAGAGAGAAGGAATTGAACGTAGTGAAGGGATATTAAATATTGGAAAAGCAGTATATTTGACTCTGGAAGTAATATTTGGGGGGTTCCGAGACATACGTATGTGAAAGATGGTTATAATATTAGATTATTTGGAAATGAATTGAGGTTGAAGAATCTGTAATCATAATTCCCATGTTGGATTTCAAAGCAAGTTCGTAATTTAAAGATTTTTATTAGATTTTCTATAGTAAGAAAAATATAATAACGATACAAAATTATTAATTTCGTACAAATCTTTATGGTTGATGAACAGTTGAGATCCTTTGATTATTTTTTATTTGAGTATCTGTCCCAAGCTTTATATTACAAAAAAAAGATTATTATTTTCTCTTCTTGAAATGTTCTTTTTAACCATTTCAAGATGAGAAAACAACTTGTAAAACAATTTCTGAATTATATAGTCAATAATTAAACTTTTTGGATCAAAAAGCCACTTGCCTGTTAAATAAAAGTTTAAGGAGTCGCACGTAACATTACAATCACTGTTTTTACTAGTGTCACGAGAATCACTTTGAACAGCAATTTCTTATCAAAAGAACCACATTTGTCCACCCCGATGTATACAAAAAGATAATTGGAGTTTTGACAATAGAAAATTTATTGTATGATGGACTGCAAAAGGTAGACACACAAGTTATAAGCATTCATTCAAAAATTACACCTACATGAACATCCTGTATTTATAATTTCATTACGCATTCTTTGTTTTGTCGATATTTGTAGTGGAATTTTATTCAGATTGGGTATTGTTTTCTAGCAGTAAAACCAGTATAACGATGCAATAAAAATAATTGAACAAATGTTTCTTGAATTGTTTTGTATTATTATTATAATTGAAAGTAATAAAAATTAATAATAATAATAATAAACATTTGTTGCATAAAATAAATGCTGTATTTATTTGGCATGCAGAGGCAATACCATATAAGTAAGAGTTAATAATTAATTTGTTTGTTTTATTACGAAACTTAATTAAAATTTATATAGCTTCCTCCGATGATTCAATTTGGAGTTGCTTGTGTGTTTAGAATTCTTTAGAAAATTGCCAATTTTCGTGTATCAATTAATAATACAGTTTTAATAATTAATTACAAATTGTCCCCATGACATTTTTAAATGTCCTTCCAACAACCTACAAATATCCGTATGAACGTATTCTTGTTTAAAATAAAATGATGTAATTGAAAAAATGTATAGGATTAACGGTGTACGTTAGTACGAACATCATGTACGTCTATGCGAACACAAAGTTACAAAATATATTGATTATAACAGAAGTAAAATTTAAACTTACATAACTGGAAGTCTTTTGTGTAGGTTAGTTCAGTTTGAGACACTAAATTATCGTGTACGTATTATATAATGTACGTTCACTTATATAATTTTTTTTAGTTTATTTTGTCTATGAGAAACTCGATTTATTACAGTGTAATAACGTAAATGAAGATGGCGGTGTTTTAATATCCATCGACCTTAAGTTCTTCAGGTCACGTGTAATTACAATAGGAAAAAATGTAAATATTGGTCGGTTTTATTGCTAGATTTTATTGCTAACATCATAGCGGTAAGCATTCGAACTATAAAAGAAATTATAATGGACAGCACAAATGTTACATGCAATTAGAAAATCATCCGCGAAAACATATTTCTCTGTGACCATTCATCAGCGTTAACACTTAAAATCAATATTAACTTATAACATACTTTTTTTTCCTATAGAGAAGAAACATTTGCTTTTCCATTTAGAGGCGATAAAAGTAAATGATGTCCAGCATTAAATTCGTTTGTGTATACTCTCTTACCGGGCCGAATGCCATACCTTAGATGTGTTACTTAATATTTACAGCAATATTGTGTTTTAAAAATTTCAAAACAAAATAAATTTTAATTGATCAAAATAAATTATAAAAAAAAGTACAAATATAATTTATGTTGATTTTTTCCCCTTTATGCAATCAGGTCTCTGTTAGTTCGGTTTATGTATTTAGTTCCTCGATTTGTCCGGTATCAAAGTAACCCGGACTATACGGGGTATTTGTATATTTACGTACGATATGTGTATACAGATTAATGTACGCTAAGCAAATTGGACAGTGCCTTCATTTACGATTGTTTATATATACATTAGTACGTTAGTTCGGGCCATGTTATATAATAACACATGCAAAATATCCGGGATTGTTTGAAACCGGTCTAATCGAGGACTTTAAAAGCACATGAAAATAAATTACACAAAAAGAGACCTGAATGCAAAAAGCAAAAAATGAACGATTATTTATGTACAAAAAATATTTATACCGTACTTATCGAAACCGCACTATAGAAAACTTGAATATGCCTAGTGATAGCTAGTCATTAAGTCATCGTAATAACAAAGGTTTTTTGTTGTAAGTCTATGGCAATGAAATGCATCAAACCTCCACATTTATATTTACATGTTTATTACGTCTAAAGAAAATCATGTACTAATAATGACTACTAATCTTAAAGTAAATCTGACACTTAGTAATAAATATCATCTATTGTTGTTAATGAACTAAATTTTATTATATAATAAAAACAGTATTTATTGCAACCATTATTTAATTACATAAATAAAATATGTGAAATATAATCACATAAATCATTGACCTTTTATAACATTTTGTGGTATATCTCGAAATTATGTGATTATGGAGTCTTGTTGGGGTCTACGAATATTCTTAAGTAAACATATTTTAGTATAGATTAACTTGAAACCCTAACCATTTGTCCGCAAAATTAATTAGCGTAAAGTAAGTAAGTGTATTTGTTTGAATATATTTCAGGTGAAGAATAATCGATACGTGTCAGAGAATTGCAAATCTAGTGAATGCATTTGAAACTTCAATGTCAATGGCGAACGAACAAAGTCAACCCCCAGGGAAACCTCCCCGAGAGATAGGCAATCCCACGCGGAATTCTCCTATAGAAATTGCAAAATAAAACTGGTTGCCAACGTACAAAGGGACTTTACCAGCGGAAATGCACTGTGAGGTACAGAAATGTTATTCATTCAAAGCAACCGACCGATACTTTGCACTAATGAATTTCGATACAATTATTATAAGAATACGTACGACGCAAATTGATGTATGTTGTAGGACTGCCACGTGCCATCCAGGATGACAATGAGTTCCATTCTGCCCGGATCTTCGGCCCTTTCATCGCAGTCGACCTGGCTTTTGCCAAGGAGTTCTTAAATGGAAGAGGACATCAATAACAATGGGAATCAAAAAGAAACTTATTCGATAAAAGCATTTCATACTCAATACCTGCGGTTTTCTTGTAGGAATCCACAATTCCGAAAGCCAATTTATCGATTGCGTTCTCTTCGAGGTAAACGCCGTAACGGCCAGTCGTCTGAAGTATTTTAGCGGCAGCGCTCACCTGAAAAAATACAATTTTCCCCGCAAACGAGGGTTCAAATACAACGGAATTAGCTGGAGAGGATAACAAAGAGGCTTACGTAGTCGACCAAATCAAAGGCATCGAAAAGCCCTTGCAGTTTCTTGAACCTCTCGCAGGCTCTGTACGATCGATCGAAAGCGACACCCCTATCGGAATAATACATGTCGATGAGCTGCGATAGTCGTATGCCTTCCAGGATGTCCAGCCAGTCTTTCACCCTATCTGCTAGAAGTATCGCTGCAAACGGAATTATAAACACATGCAAATGATACCCACAAAGCAATCACCGTCTATCCCTGCTAGTAGTTCGGCCCCGCTCATGTCCCATGCATCCACCTCCAAGTAATGAAGCCTCGGAAGTAAGGTGTCATTCCAGTTACCTACAACACCAATAACTGGATCGACACCTTGTCTAATTAAAACCTCGGCCAGGTCGCCTACTATGGTGGAGAACAAGACGTTGTCAATGATTTGGTTCCTCGTTGATGCGCTGAACGTGTCGTTTGCCTGTATATTGTCCATAAGCCTTCCTAACGTAAGCTTCTCCTTTTGCAAGGCTGATGCCAAACCCGTGATCAAATGCCCGCCGGATATACTTCCCCATTTATCCCATAATACTCCCTGCTCAACGATGCAGTCCCTGGAACAGATTCATATTGAGTAAGATCATCCAACTAAGAACATTTTATCTATTACATTTCATTTACACAACTAATATTTCAGTTACATGCATTAATCAATAAAGAAATACAACAAAATAAAGAAATTGATTTTTTTTTTGTCATTTAACAATTGATTGCATTTTATTTGTATATTATTAAGCCTCGAGACAATTCGTTTGCAAAAATGTACAATAAACTGTATATAGTCCAGTCTCATAACTATAAAGATATTTGCAATATTTCAAGTATATATTATTACGTTCGACAGTACGTACATGATATTTACGGTGAAAGTACACAAATCCGTACAAACGTACAACAATATCAATCAAATAAGTAAATGGATCGTGACTTAAAATGTAGGGTTTTTGTTACAATCCGATGATAAAGTGTACGTTTCTATGAATGTTGAGTACGCTACGAAAAATGCAGTAATAGCTATTACGTGCCACTGTGTAAAGAACACCCTTATAACCTAGATCATGCTAAGTGTCACAGATTGCGATGTCTGTTCCAGCGACTCAAATTAGTGTCATCCCTTTTCAGCAGCGAGCGTCCTCTTAATTATGTTATATAATATTTTGTTAATTCCATAAACTGATTACATTCAACTGATCTAGGTGTTGTGTCAATTATAACTGATTGTTCAAAAGTTATTTAATACTCATTTACTCTTATATATTATAAGTAATTTTATGTGTACAGTATAAATCAGCATAAATATTGATCCAATTTATACAAATTGAAAGTATTGAATGCATTTCTGTTGTTTTTATACAACATGTCTCTTAGTATGTACTCCACGTATATTACTGAACATAGTTTGTTAATTTGAATAGAATGTACTCATTATCAAATTTTGTCTATTTACGTATACTAATTATAGAAATATTGTATGGTAGGTTATGCATGCATTTTTAATGGCGAATATAATAATAAAGCATTTCTTTAGAATGAACTTCGAAAACATCTTTTATAACGAGCAGATACTCGTTATAAAGAATCCGGTTGAAATTTTCTCGTAACTACAATAGAGATGTGAAGTTATTCATGTTTCCAGAAAGATTTATTTCAAATAGTGTGCAATCCCGCATATGCACAACAGTAGGATAAATCGATTGTTAGATACGTAAACATCCTGTCTGCTCGGAAATATCCACAGAAAACTTTAAAATTCACAGAGATGCAGAACCATATTAGTTATGTATCATTTGTTATTACAAAAAAATATAAAAACATTTATTATAATATTCTCCTAAATACATAGCCTGCAATAATAATAGTGGTATTAATCATGATATTATTCTTACTCATACTTTGATTATTTTTACTGTTTATTTCATTTATATAATTATGGTATTCAAAACGTGAGTCATAATCTAATAATATCAGTTTTTTTGTTATTAAAAATTTAAATTTGAAGTTGTTTTGACTGTAAATTTGACCTTGCAAAAATGTGTTGATATTTAGTTTAATCTAAGTAAAATTTCTTATGTTTTCTAAATTATTGTAATTTACGAAGCACAAGGACATTTTTATAATACTAAATTTAATTGTAAGATTCATATCAAAGTTGTTTTGTTTTGTCTCCTCATGTTATATTTTTGAAGAACCATGAATTGTGATTCTCATTTTATATGAATTTTAAAATCATTTTTAATTCATTCAACATTAATGAGAAATACATGAAGATATTAGAAATAAATTTATAGTAAAAAGTTTAAAAAAATGCTTTAAATATATAGTTTAGAAAAAGAATAAACATTCAAAATCTAGTTTTAAATTTTATAGGAATAATTTTCTTAAGGTTGTTTTGAAAAGTGTTGAAATGTCTCTTCGCGTTTGAGCAACCGTTTTATTACGCAACAACACAATCTCCTTTAAAATATATAATAACAAAATTGTTTTCCATTGAGTATAATGCCACAGGCTATGCAAATTATAAGACAAAGTTTATTGAAACTGTGTTAAAAAAATAATGCAACTACTGCGTTTATCTTGTTAACTTCTTTAATCCTTAAGATTTTGTTTGTTTTCCTTAAGATTTTGTTAGTTTTCACCCTCATTGTATTAAAGATATACATGTTGTAACTATTCAAAATAAGTTGAAAATGGAATGTGAAACTTTTTATACAGCGATTTTCAGTTGGAGAAATTTATCGTATACTTTGGACCCTTGTCACTTTTTCCCAAAGAATAAGATCGTTAATTACATGTGAGAAGAAGAACATAAAAATATGTAAGTACTTGCAAGATTTGTTTGGCCATTGATCTATAGTGTTGGATACAATTAAATGCAATATGCAAAATTCCACTTCATTAATGGCATCCCTGGGAAATTGTAGTGTGTCTCCGGGAGTTAAATGATCCACTATAAATTGGTACTTATAAAAATGTTCACCTGACGCTCGATAAGGTATAATGCCATCAAGTTCATCACCGCCTCCAGTTCTTCGAACACCGTCGTACTTCGCCCTAGGGACCAAAATAGCTTCGATCAAGTTGTCAGGACTTTACTTAGGTAGCTTACGTATGAAGCACAGCATTTGTTAAAGTCCTAATATGCGGTGAACTTTTGTCGAACTCCAATTTCCTAATTAACTCGATCAACAATTTCGTCGTGAGCGGAGGTTGAGGAAGATCCTTCGTAACATTGCTTCTATAGCAATTCAATAAATTCTCAGGAATCGCAGTAAATGTCTCCCCAAAGATCACCTCCAATCCAAATCCACCTAAGCAACACAATCATAATCTACACAAATATAAACAATACTTTATACCTAAAACAACTAAACACCATAGCTTCAGCATTTTAACTGCTACATATACACCTCGAATAACCTGTACCTTATCTTCGATGATTAATGCTTTAAGTAAACAGACCATCTATTTATTTTTTTAATCTACACCTACATAACTAATCTAATCTAATCAGCAAGTATTTCACCAATCCTACATTTTGAAAATACAAAAGGTTGCCATTTGGGTAGATCCATTTTTTCAATGAAAATTTTTGTGGGATGGGAAGTTGCGCAAACCGAAAGGAATAGTCACAAATTGAGAGAATGCACGATGTAAAAAAACGAACAGAATTTTCATTAAAAAAAATCATACAAGTTATATTTTGAAGTCTACTCTATAATACTCTGCTGATATTACATATTCAAAAAATATAGCATTAAGGCTACCAACGCGAAACTGGTGGTAATAATGTTTCCTGAGCTCGTGCAGCTGAAACCATCTATGCTGAGGATATACTTCACGTTATCCGGGAATCTGCAATCTGCAATAGGAATAGTGTCACTATAAAAAGTTCTAGGTATATTAGTATAAGCGACTCACCTCTGCACCTGGGGCTGGTCTTCGTGATTTGTGCTGCTACTGAAAAATATAAGGGAGAGCATTCGCCCACGGTATCCAAACAGGTATCAGTTAGCTCAATAGTTTTCTCATTTCCTGACAACTTCTCGCAGGTTCCTGTAGTATTTTCGCTGGGCATAGATTCCGAGCGTGAATAGCAGAAAGTGATCTGCTCGTACTGGGCTCTAATCTTGAAGTTCTTCGGGCCTTCACCAACAAGGTAATTTGGAGCAATTTTGTAATAGTTGATCGTTCCTGGTTCTACTGCTAATTCAATGGAGTTTGAGCCAACATCACCGGTCATCTGATCACCGCATCTTGGATTCTTCACACTTCTTGGTACTATAAATGAAACATGTATTAAATATAAATAATATTAGAATAGCTTTAACTATTAATGGTATATTTTAAAATCATTACTTTCAGCAATCTTCTGGATCATAGGTCTTACACTTTCTATGATTCTGTTGTCGTTATCGTAGGCTAAGGTAAAAGCATCGTTGCTGCTTTGCACTAAACTGGAGTATGCATCTTTGTTTCCTGGTCCCAAAACTATGAATTTCACATCTAGAATATGTATTTAATTTAGTTTTTCTTCCTTAATTTGAGAGTGTTATTATTTATACCAGGAAGATAGTTGGATAAAATTTCGCTTCGTCTGCTTTGGAAGTAGCTTCCTTCATCTGATGGGATTGTTTGACTATTGGGTACAAACAGAACTATGCTGGATTTTCCTCCCATGTTATTCTTCGACTTATCTTCTGACAACTTCTCCCTCAAAACCCTTTCAACTGAAGGCATGGAGTTTTGCAAGCTGAATCCCCTATTCACTGTAAATAAATGTATATAACATTTCAACTGTTCATCAATTTTATACATCTTCTGCTTTTATTAAAATATATATTTTGAATATAAAATGATATTCTTTTCTATAAATATTGATCTGTGAATACGTGACAATTTAAATATCATTTTATAAAATATGAGTATATTTACCTTTTTCATTGACTGTGTTGTTGTATAATTCATGGAATGGTAGTAAACTATGACTTCTATTTACAAGTACTTCACCATCTTGTCCGTTGATCAGAGTGTAAGTACTTTCATATTTGTTGATATCCAAATTTTCCAAGAGGTAAGAGATAGCTGGTTGTATATCGTTAAATCTCCATTGTGTATCCAATACAATAATGATATCTGTGGCAACGCGTTGCAACTCATTGGCATCACAATTCAAATCATTCAATTTTGCTGAAAAATAAAATAATAATTTAGTTCCATATTCTATATAATTGGCAAATAAATTCATATTTTTTTTTAATTTGAAAAATATTTTATACATTCAAATTTCTCAATATTTACTGCTTATAGTTGAGGATGTTATTAATTAGAAAAAATATATCTACAGAGGATATTAATTTACATGTCTTGTTACTAATAATAATAAACCACTAATATTTTAAGACTTACGTAAGTAATTTAGGTAGTTCTCAACAGTTCTTGAAATGAATCCAGGAATCTCTTGCTTGGGAATAGTTCCAGCGAAGAGTCCTATATTATTGTAAATGTAACCAAAAGCTTCAGATTGTTGGATGAGTTTCTCCTTGGTGAAGACTTCTGTACTAAGTTTATTGCGTTCACATGCCTTGAAATTTTCGGAATATACACCACGCGGGGAGTAGTACATATCAAGGATTTGAGATAGCTTCAATTGAGAAAATCTATTGGTCCACTGTTGCACTTTGGTTGCCATTATCAGACCATCCAAATCGCCTCTGATTTCAGCATCGGTGAACTGATATTTCTCATTATCATTGATAAAATAATACTTTGGTACTAAGGTACTGTTCCAAGATCCTTTGGTGCCAACATCGTACGAGTTCAAATTTGTTCCTTGCCACGTGGCAACTTCAGCAATATCACCTGTTAAATCATAAATGTTATTCAATTATTTTAATTGATGTTAATCATCAATACCTGAAATTGTGGAGGCAAATTCGTTTTCAGCATCAACCTTCTCCGATTCGATAGCAATATTCTCGAAACCAGCAGCTATACCAGCAAGAACTGATCCAGCCTGAATAGATCCCCATTTAGTATAAACAACGCCATCTTCGATTGGGCAATCGCTGATTTTAATATCTCTGTTGTCTGGAAGTCTCCTGGGTTTTAATAAGACTTCTACATCGGGTGTTTTTCCAGTACTGAAAAGTAGTATAATAATAAATATCTATGTGTGCATAATGTATGCTATTGGTATACTCATTGGAATTTTGGAAATTTTCCAATTCTCTTTTGATTCTGAGCGTGTATCGATCCAAAGTGTTGCAAACCCTCGCCTCATCACCGCGTTCTTCCAAAGCAATTGTGTTGGATAGCATGTAGTGAAGCGAACACTAAAATTGTTATGTTTTTTTATAAATCAATAAAATAATGTAATTATCTTACTCCTTCAATTGCGTTAAGAGTTTCGTTCGGGAAGTTCATTGCAGTACCAGGGATGAACTGTTTTAAGAGAAGGATGTTTTTGAACAACTGGTGTCCTTTCGGAGTATATGGGAACACGTATGGATTGGGACTATGCGTAGACACTATACCATCCTGACGGAATCTAAAAGAAAACAACATTATCTCATGATCTTCTTAGAAAAGTGTGTACAAACCTATGAATCAATTCGATTGCGAAACTCATAGCATTCTGGTTCGATTTTCCATCCTCCACTTGTCGTATCAGATCGATGAGGATGTTTATAGTTGATGGTAGCCTGAACTCCCTGTGCATCAATTCCGTGGTATTGTAGCATTGCAAAAGTCCATCAGCGACGTTACTTCCGGCATTATCCTGGGCAGTCACCACGCCCAAAAGCAACACCAAAGGCATCCACCGCATCATGAATAGTTTTCTATTTCTTCACTGAACGCTCCCTCCCTATGTTGCAGACGCGCTTCTAATTAATAGCTCTAAACAAGTGCAAAAGGGTACTATTATTTAATCTCGCGCATTATCTCGAGCCACTTATCGAATTATATAGCTAGGGGACGTGAGAAAACGATCCATATAAATAAAATTCTAGTAAATGAAAAAAATAAAATATATAAAATAAATTTATAATTTATATAATAAGAATTGCTGATTCAGCAGGCAACAAGAAATCCATTGGATACAATAGCAATAACAACAACAAAAAAAACATATGAATCATAGCTATTTTTGCAAAATCGTGATTAAAGTAGATCACGGTCAAGGTATGAAGATCTTATTGATGGCGCGATTCTTTAATGTATGGATATAATAGTATTATTATATTTGTGAATGAAAGAAAGTGCAAAAGAAATATTTTTGTATCGGAGTAAATTCGTACCTGTTCAGATGAGTTAAACGAACACTGTCTGAACCATTTTGAGCCGTTCCCTGGATCCGAGATTAGATAAGGACTGCGTATGTTTATACGTTTATTATCATTATTATTACCCAACATAAAAAAAGTCATGTGTTTACTTAGATCATAACATTTATTCGAACTATCTGTGCGTCTATATATAAATATAAAATATGTTTTGAGCATTTATCACTTTCTTTTGTTTTGGCTTCTTTTGATTCATCTCTCCCGCGCCAGTGAGAGGTGTTCAGGCCCTCTTTGGTTTGATCTTCTGGATGTGCGTCTCCAGGATCGTGGTGAGCGCATTCTGTGAGGGTGAACTGCTATGTTTCTCGCCATAGTTTTTGAATGCTTCTGCAAGGTCGACGTTGATGTCTTCGAGAGGGGTGTTCCCTGGTCTAATGTAGACTGGTATGTATCCGGGAATCGGCGGCAGGAACTGCGTGACAGCGGGTGCCGTTTCTACAAAAAGCAAGCAAGATCAGATGACGGGGGTCGAGGGGCGCAGGAGGGATGAATGGACGTACCGGTTCTGGGGACCAACCAGGCCATCGCGACGATAGAAACCAACAGGACTTTCAAGAACATATCTCACTTGTGTCCGCACCGGAGCTCACTTAGTGACTGGCCATTGACTCTCGCCAGATTACCTTTTATAAGCTTCATCTCTTGGCGAATCTCCTCCCAGATGTATATGCAATACCTCGATGGCTACTCATTGCTCGCCGATGGTTCGGATGGATCTGTAGCGCGACTACAACCCCCCACTAACCCTTGATTGAGATCGAAGAAGAACCTGTTCCTGGTCGACCTTTCCTCCATATTTTTATATTTTCAAACAAGACTTTTATGTTGTTTGATGTTACAAGTATGTGAGTAGATACATCAAAGCATCCAAAGCTAGTCTGTTTGATTTGATCCTTCCGAATTTAATGAGACTAGAACGCTCGTATTTCATTACTACGTCCACTAAATTCGCACCCTCCGAAATTCAAACATCGCACGCACTAATTAAATGTACTCCTATTATCACATCGGTATTCAATATCTCAATTATTTCCACATCAGATCACAGCTCAGTAACCTTAATTAATGGATATCGACTGAAATATAAAACGTATTGATATATAATCACTGGGGAATCAATTTATATTTGTTTAGGTTTATTATTAATGTGTATCAATTTGTGTTTCACAACATCCCTCGTTTTATTCAGCCATGAATAATAATGAACATATGCAATATTTATTAACACACGATGGTTTTCAGTATCAAATTATATCCAGTGGACCAAATTAAATTTTTAGTTTTGGTATTTCCAAACAAAAATTACTATAATTAATATTAATAAAAAAAATCATGTAAATAAATGTATTTAAAAAATTAAAATCATTAAAATTCATTATATTTAAAATTACCTTTATACTTTTTTTATGACTTCTAATCATTCACAATCTGCCACAATTATGACAATAAGTTGAACAGTTTTTTTTATACATTTTTATGCAATTTTAAATTTGAATTATTTTTGGATTTAAATTTTGTACGAATTAATAATTATTATAATCAGATGATAAGTAAATACTTAAGATAAATATTATCTACATTTATTTTTGCACTTTATCACTATTTGCATTAAATACCTATTCATAATGCTAATAATTCGCCAATATTCTGGACTGTATGAAACCGGACAAATCAATGAGTTTAAAATTAGATTCTTTTGAATTTTTTTTTATCTCAATTTAAATTGATTTTGTTTTGAAATTTCCATACCGGACTATAGTGAATCCGGACTGACCGAAGTAGCAAAAAAATAACAAGCATAACCTAATTTCGAATCGTAGTTAATTAATAATAAATAAGTATTTCATAATTCAATAATCGAAAAGAATATATACATGTATTATACTTGTCTTCAAAGGATTAATCATGATTGATGGATTCAATCATAACGGAAATGTGTACACTTTAATACCAATAATGCGATACACACGAACAATCTCAAAACAAATCACATTTAACGGTTTATAATAAAACAAGAACCATTTTTTTTTATCTATCATAGATACGTGAATAGTATCTAAGAACATTTTTTTTTATTATTATCTACTCTTCTTGTATTAATATTTTATAACGTTTTATAGGATTTTGTAATTGTCCCTGTTGTTATGACTGGCATACAAAGAACTGCTATTATATACTTTTTTTGTTATTACATAAGCAGCAAAGAATTCGTTCAATGACATCGAAACTACTAAAAACATAATTATTTCACATAATTTAACGACGAAAACTTTAAGAATTACCAAATTATATTTTGGTAATAAATTCAAAACAATTTAAATTCTAATAGAATAAAAATCAATTCATATAATTGGTAAACAAGATTATTTTATTACGGTTTTCTGTATATTAATTTAATATACCAAAAAACCATGAAATTGAAGTGAAATGCTGCAGTAATACAGGTGAGTTATAAGTGCGTATTTTTCATTGAATTTGCTTTATGTTTATATTAAGTTTGTTGTATATTTCGCATAGAATTGAAATGAAATTTTGCAGTATTATTCAAGAATAGGAATAAAATTGAGTTTTTATATAATGAAAAAAATAATCAATCATAAATCAATTTCGTGTGATCAAAAAAAAATAATATAAGTGCACTAAAAAGTATAAATCAATATTGTGGTGGGAAAACATAAAATATTTTATTGGATTTTTGAGTAACAGCGGTTGATTTTTATTTATGACCTTGGGCGTGTTTAACCGATAAATCCGGCTCTACCCTATAATTGTACCTAAATTTAAGTCTTAAATCATATTTTAATACCTGTTCAGCGTGTTGTGAGCGTCTAAACCGTGAGTATATTATAACTTTATTAGCATATTACTCATTCTGGCTGATCCTCGTTGTAAATAAGTTAAGCAACAAAAACATAAACAAATTTACATAGTAAAAGTATGTAAATTGTTAATTTGTTCAATGCATACATTATTATTTTTTTTTTCCATTATTGTGTATTCTTAAATGTTGTGTATCGACGATGTTATCTTTAAACAGGTTCACAGATTGCGTAATTAGTAAAATAATTATTTATAAGTCTCGACTTGCATGATTACAATCATCTTTAAAAATAATTTAACATTAGTTTATGTTACGTAGAAACATAAAATTTATCAGTAATATAATTATAGCAGATTCGTCACGTAATTATTTGTACAATGAACAAATAAATTTTATTAACATGATAAAATTAATTCTTTAACAAACGTCATTTAATTTATATTTTATTAATTACGCATATACCGAAATGTTACAAATTACAGAATTATAATGATATCAAATGAAATAGAAATAATTTTCAGAAAGTACTAAACAAATTTTATATAAAATGTTACTTTCAAATAAATTACATAATAATTTCTCAATTCGATGCGTAGAAAAACACAGCATTATTATATATTTAATTAGTAAGATAATCTTAGTAAAACTTTAATTAGTATATAATTAAAATAATAATAGCAGAATTTACACAAAATCATGTATTTCATAGTAGCGCTGTAAACTCTAAAAACTGGGACTATGTCGAAATCCCGAAAACCATAATCCCGACAGTACCTTTTATTTCTTATTGTTAGGATTTATTATGAATGAGTCTATACCAAATAATAATAGGATTATGGATGTCGGGATTTCGATCCGCATCTCTAAAAACTACGCTCCTATGTACAGTGGGGACTCCTGAATCGTGGGGAATCAAGATCCAATCGTGAGTGGACAAGGTTGTAGGTTCCGAGAGAGACTGTCAAGGAGATGGTGATGGTGGAGGAGAGCAGAAAATATAAAAAAAACCTCTTCCTTCTCCGAGAAAATAAGGAAGTGTTCTAGTTTGGTACATCAACTTACAACTTATACAACTTACTGCTTTAGTTACAGAAATAGTCTATCATAGAGATAAATGTTGACGATTCAAACATTATGATATACTCAATCACATGTGTTCCGCAGGAAGTGTGATTGTACCTGCTTTATATTGATCATGTGCACTGGAGATAATACAATCGTTACCCCAGTTTGTCCGATAACTTAAATCGATATTTGTTTCGCACTTAAAGCAACAAAAAATATTAAATGATGTAGGAGTGGTTGATATTATCAGAATAAACATAACCATGTCAATAAGCGTACCTGACGAAGATCAGCACGTGGATCGCTATTTTACCAAACGGAATTTGCTTGTATCTTGTTTGATTATTTACACATTTTTTAAGAGATTTATATCAATTCTTAAAGAAATAAATATCTTGGCCCTATTTCTGTCCCACAATATGTGTTGTTGGTGAGATTCGAACCTGTCAACTTTCGTATTAGTTTTTATGATTCAGGCAACAATAAGCAAAGGGCACATTTATTTCTTCTTATGTCTGGGTGCAAAGAAGAGTTCGAACGATAGTGATAATGTAGAACAGATGTTTTTTTTATGTTAGTTTTTGCTTTATATTAAATTATATTAGAGCATCAATTCATGTTATTTATTTTATATTTATGTAATAATTCAATGTCAAAGAAAATGATCAATTATACGAAACTCTTGAAGCTTAGAATCAATTTTATACATTGATTATAATTTTCTTGTACGTTTACAGCATTATCTATATATAGGCAGTAATTACTATCATTCAAGAGTGATTTTAGACTAGTCGATCTTAAATAACTCTAGCACAATACGGCCTTAATTAATAACTCTACCATAAATGATGCGCTATAAATATATAATAAATTCATCTAATACTAATTTTGATTATTATATAAATTATTACTACACGTGTGTCAATGCCAATTTATTATAATAACAAATGTATACTTTATGCGTTGTAAACTAAAATTCATTGTACGTAGAAAACAATTTAATACAATGCGGATCTTCATTACAATACCTTTATATAATCGATATAAACTATCTATGTATATTCTTTATGTTACATACCGTGCATGATTTATTGAATACAATCGTTTATTGAGCGCATGCGTCATTTGTTAACTCAAGGTCATAAAATCTTGCCATCCTACACTTCTCACATTGGATTTTTGGATAGTTAGAATTTTAACCTTTTTGCAAACAAATTATCAAAACATAAATTTTAGTGAAACATACATCATGATAGTTATTAGTAATTAATTAGAAAATTGGACAATGTCGAGCGCATGCGTCGTTATTAATTCAAGGTTATCGTTAAAGTCTTTGTTCCAAAATATTAATATTAAAAATAAACTATTTTATATCATTAATGAAGCTTACCGTGAAAGGGTTACTGATTACAATCGTGGATGGTGACAACCTCGAGCGCAAGCGTTGTTAGTTAATTCAAGGTCATGCGAACATACGTTTTACACTTTACATCGATTTTCAGGTTATTTTCATTTATTATTAGAAATCCATAAAATGCTTGAATACAATTCACAAATTTATTAAAAATGAATAAATAATAAAAATTACAATAAACATATATAAACTATTATTTTACCTTATTTATAAAATCAATTATTTTCTTATTAAACATAGAAAATTTATCATCAACTAGTGTAAAAGCTTCGTATACGTTAGGTAGTAGAATTTCAATATCATTTTTATCTACA